TTTCTCAAAAAAAAAAAAGACTGCAGTATTTTATGCCACGAATATACCGTAATTTATGCTTTTCTCCCATGCTAGATGCTTACCTGGTTTTTAATCTTTAATCGGTCTAAAACCAATGTGGTAGCATGGTTGTTCCTTACTTTTTCTTCATGCAGCTGATGAGGTTTCTTGAGATAGATTTTTAGGAGTGAAATTAGCAGGCTCAGCGATTTGAATTTCGTGAAGTTCTTGACATAGGTTGTCATGTTTGCTCCGGAAACTCTGCGATCATTAATACCAGGGGCACCTGCTGTCCCAGCAAGCTCTCTGTGGCGTCCAGCACTGGCTCCTGTTGGCTTCTCCGGCTTGATTGTCTGCGTAGCCTTTGCTCTTTATTTACTTTTCTTGTAGCAGTGAACAAGGTGTCGTTTTCCGAGTTACGTCAGACGTGTCACAACGTGGAAACAACTGACGGTATAAATCGTTGGCTGTCTTGCAGACTTAGGATACACCTTGTCCCTGAAGAAGCTGGTGTGGGATCCACAGAAGGTCCAGGCTGACCTGAAGTCCCGATTTGGTTTTGACGACCTTCATGCAGAACAGATCCTGAATTACTCAGTCGAACTACAGGAGGTACGCGTTCTTGGTGCTTCTCTGTGAGAGTGCTCCTTTGAGAGTGCTCCCAGGGTGGGTGGGAGGTGGGATGGGAGGACGGAGAGCCCCCCCCCCCTTCACGTCGGCGCTGCGTGGGCATGGCAGGCCCCTGCTGGTTTGGCCTTTCTGGGAGTGTCCCTTCCTCTTACCTTGTCATTTTAGCCCAGCCCCAGAGGCAGTCTGGAAGTACGGCAAAACCTTGGGTTGTGAGTTAACTCGTTCTGCGAGTGTTCCGCGGGACCAGCAAGCGTTCCTAATAAATGTTAACTTGGTAAACGAGCGATGTCCTGCAACACGAGTCGTACGTGACGCCAAATGTCACGTGATCACAACTGAGCAAATGGTTCTTGAAATTCGCTTTGATATACAAGTGTTTAGATGACAAGCGTGTTCCCGGAGCGAATTAGGCTGGGAAACCGAGGTGTGACTGTAATAGGAAGTGATTCTCGCTCTTGGCACTGGCCGGGGGAGAAGCCAGGCCGGGGGAGGGAGTGAGATTCTGCAGCTGAGGCGGCAGCGAGCCAGGGGGCAGGAGACGACCGCTCTCCAGGCTGAGATGCTGTCACCGGGACGGCAGGACCCTCAAGGTCACAGGCCCCCTGGACTCAGCAGATAGGGGCCTCCACTGTGTTTGCACACTGTTCTGGAAGGGGCTCCGCCTGCACGGCTCCCTTTTGTCCCTTGTGCGGGCGCTTCTGCTCTGCGTGGTACAGGACCCCAGAACTGTACCTCTGTCTCCTTTTGCTGCACGGATGCCCCCGACGTGAGGGCCTTTGTGGTGCAGCCCCCGGGTCAGGGCTGAGGGACTGACAGTTTGGACGAGACCTGCACCCTCCTGTTAGGGTCCCGGTCTGTGCTCAGGGCGTGGGGTTCACTCGCTTTCCTGAGTTCCCATGACCTGGCACTTCCCTCATGGTGTTGTCCACCTTGACACGAGCTACCGTTGGCTTTTCACTTTTGGGTTACAGGTCTGAGCAGCGAATCTGGGGGTGTCACCCTGGTCTCAGCCAGGTGCGGCCGCTAACTGCCGAGCGGCGAGGCGGCTGGAAAATTCCTTCTGCCAGGCAGGTCTTACACTTGGCCGGGAGACGCGGTTTTCCGTTCCTCTGTCACATCTGGTGCAATTTCGTGAACCATCTCCCTCCCGTGGGATTTGGAGTTGTGCCCTTTGGCGTCTTTCGTGGGCGCTGTTGTAGACAGCATAGGAACGCCCCAGCTGCTGACTCTACTCCCGTATTGTCCGTACTTCCCGACCCCGTTTTCTCATCAAATTACAAAGAACGTTTACCTTGAAAGGGCAGGTATTTTGAGGGGTGCCTGGGTGGCTCAGGGGTTAGGTGTCCGACTCTTGATGTCAGCTCAGGTCACGATATCACAGTTCGTGAGTTCAAGCCCCGCGTCGGGCTCTGCGCAGACAGTGAGGAGTCTGCTTGGGATTCTCTCTCTCCCTCTCTGTCTCTGCCCCTCCTTGGCTCACTGTGTGTGCACCTGCACACTCTCTGTCTCTGTCTCTCTCTCTCTCTCTCTCTGAAAGTAAATAAATTAATTAAGAAAAAAAAAAAGAAAGGCAACTATTTTGAGATTAGAACTACAAGGAAAATGGTCGGGGGACAGCACAGAGCATATGTCACGGGTAGGAGTCTCCTGTGGCTGCTGATACGAGTTACCACCAACACTGTTGCCCCACACAGCACACATTCATTACCACATGGCTCTGGGAGTCAGAAGTCTCACTCAGGTCTCCCTGGGCTAAAATCTGTGTCCCCCGGTGCTGTTTCCTTGCTCTTCCAGCTTCTAGAAGCCTCTGTGCTCCGTGGCTTGGGGCCCCTTCCCTAGGCCAGTGATAGTGGACTGAGTTTTTCTCAGGATGTGTCAGCTCCGGCTCGGTCGCCTTTCCCTCCCACATTGAAGGAGCCCTGTGATTTCTTGGGGCTCGTGGATAATCTGGAATGATCTCCCCGTCTCCAGGTCTGCTGGTTAGCAACCTTAAGGCCACTGGCCAACACCACTCTTAACCTATTCACAGGTTCTGGAGTTAACATGTGAGCGCCTTGGGGGACCATCACCCTGCCCCCCACCCCACGGAGGGCCCCTCAGGAGCCAGCATCGTGATGGTTTCCTGGGTCCTGCCCTGGGCCTGCCTGATTGCAGGCGCTGCCACTCTGGGCCTCTGCTTATGCGACCCCCAGAGCAGAGGGATCTTTCTCTCTTCCGTTCTCCACTCCCCACCGAGCAAACAGCTCGATCATCTCTCACGGGCCCGTGGAACTCTCGTGCCCTCTCTCCTGGGTGACCTGTGACAGGCACATTGGTGTATCTACCTCTCACAGACCCTTCGAGTCCTGGGAGAGGGGACGGGGCCTTGTTTCCCTAACAGGTGCTGTGGCTTTGTGACTTGAGTATTAGTTCTCTGCATCCCCAAGGGAACCACAAAGGAACCAAATGGGGCTTGAATACTTTTTTTTTTTTAAAGTTTATTTATTTATTTTGAGAGTGAGAGAGAGAACAGGGGAAGGGCACAGAGAAAGAAGGAGAGAGAGATAGAGAATCCCAAGCAGGTTCCGCACTGTCGGAGCAGAACAGGATGTGGGGCTCGATCGCACAGTCGTGAGATCGAGCCCTGAGCTGAAAGCAAGAGTTGGACACTCGGCTGACAGACCCACCCAGGCCTGGGACGTTGATGTTTTTTCACTGTTGCCATCAGTAGAGTTTCTGAAACGTGGCCCTGAAGTTATTGTAAATCTGTGTAACTGGAATGTCGTTCGTTCCCACACACGTAGGTATTTTTGCAGAGCGACATTGCAGAAACTGCATGTAGGAGTTCATTTACGTGGCGCCTGGGGGGCTCAGTCCGACTCTTGATCTCGGCTCAGGTCGTGATCTCACGGTTTCTGGGATCAAGCCCCGTGTCAGGCTCTGTGCTGATAGCATGGGGCCTGCTTGGGATTCTCTCTCCCTCTCTCTGCACACACACACTCTCTCAAAATAAATTAAAACAAAAAACCAAAAACCAGAAGTTCATTTACAGAAATAAAGGAGATATGGTTCCAAAATGTCACACTGTTTCTGACCCAGAACTCCAGTTTGAATCGTCTTTGACGGATGAAGTTAGAAGAGAAAATGATTCCGGCAAAGCGGCTTTGGCAGGACAAGGTGCCCACTGAACTGGGCTGGCCCCTGTTTGCTTTTGGCCGGAGAGTACAAATGAGCAATATTTGAGTCACCCTGTGTCCTCCATGCAGAGAAACCGCTGTTCCCATGGCTTGTGGGCCTTCGTGAAAAACAGAGTTCCAAAAGGCTTCCTTCCACGCCAATAATATAACTGCCGCTTGATCAACCTGTTAACTTCTCCTGTCATGCAAAGCCCAGAGCCCTTCCTTTGGCAAGGCGGTGGTACTATTCTTAGAAAGGAATATTCTGGAAAAAAGCGCACTTGTAAATGTATTTCATATTGTTGCCAGATTCCCACAGATGGGACCTTGGAGCGGATGGTGTGTTCCGTCTTGTCCCGAACCTCCGAGGACGAAGCTGGCCAAGAGGGTCACCCTGGAGACTGTCACCCCCGCTGGTCAGCGGCCACAGACTACCTGGTGCACGCGGTCAGCTGGCTGCAAGTCTACAAGCAGGTTCGGTGCCACCGTGAACCCCCTCGGCGTGTCCGAATCCTTCCCTCTCCTCCCCTGTCTCTCATTGTTCGATTTTATTTATTTTTAGTATTTGTGTTTATTTTTGAGAGAGGAGAGACACAGTGTGAGCAAGGGAGGGGCAGAAAGAGAGGGAGACACAGAATCGGAAGCAGGCTCCAGGCTCTGAGCCATCAGCCCAGAGCCCGACGTGGGGTTCGAACTCATGGACCGTGAGATCGTAACCTGAGCCGAAGTCGGACGCTTAACCGACTGAGCCACCCAGGCGCCCCTATTTATTTATTTAAAATATTTATTTTTGAGAGAGAGACACAGAGCACGAGTGGGGGAGGGGCAGAGAGAGAAGGAGACACAGAATCGGAAGCAGGCTCCAGGCTCTGAGCTGTCAGCACAGAGCCTGACGCGGGGCTTGAACTCACAGACTGTGAGATCAAGACCTGAGCTGAAGTGGGACGCTTCACCGCCTGTGTGCACCAACCCCCTCTCCCCGCCCTGGCACCCCTTCAGTTTTAGTGGAGTAGGTAACACGCGGTGTAAGTGTGGACTGGAGTACCACGCAGGTCTATGCGGCTCACTGCTCTCTCTCACCGAAGCTTTAAGCCCGCAGATCCTCTCGCTTTCCCCATACGTTGTTCCCTCTTTCATCGTGTGTCCTGCCCATGATGTGCCCTTCTCCCACGTGCACCCATCGGCCTCAGCTCGCTGATGCGTCCACACAAATGTCACCAGAAAGCCTGTCTTGGTGAGACACATGTGCTCACGATGGGAAGAGTCTGCTTCTGGCCTGTGGGATTTCCACGGGGCCGCCGGGTGCCCTTTGTGGGCGTTCAGATGCTGGGCTCCTGCCCCTGGAGGGCTTGGGTGCCACACGGCCTGTGCCTTTACTCTCGCGTTGACAAACAGGGAGAAAGAGGCGGTGGCCTGCTTTCGTGGACGCGATGGTGTGGCTCGGAGTGCGGGGGTGATCACATACCGACAGCTTGGAGGCCGGCGGTGGGGGGGAGCCTGGCGAATTCCCGGCAGGGTGTTCTTCAGCGAGCCGTGGATACGGTGTGAAGCAGGGCCTGGGTGCCAGTACCCTCCATTGACTTCACTGGACATTACGTTACCTTTTCCTCACAGGACACGTATCTTGGTCTGTTTTTTTCCTAATGCCTATTACCGACAAGGGTCAAAATCTCCAATAGTAGATACAAGATCGTTACCGAAATGCAGGCGTGGTTATCCACCGGGTGGCACTCCGTGTATCTGGCACGGAAAGGGTCGAGGGCCAGCGTCGGGCCGACCAGCGCCAGCATGCTGGGTGACACATGCACTTTGTGCGTTGTCTGGGCGGCCTGCCCCCGTGGTTAATGAAGGGTTATTCAGCACACACGAGTGTTCACGATCCTCGTGACGTGGACACGCAGTGTCTCTGTTGGCACGTCGATGGGAAACGGCAATACGAATTGCCTGTAGTATCGTGATCCCCGAGTCCGCGACGCAGAACGGTACTGAGTAACCTTGTGTTCGTTACAACGGAATCGCTAAGTATGGCAACGTATTTCCACCATGGCACGCGTTTCAAACGTGTCAGTTTCGCTTTTGGGGCATCCGGGTCCTGTTCAACGATGTGTGTTGTCGCCTTCTCTTTTGAAAAATGGCAGTGGGTGAGGGCAGGACAGATGGCACCTCCGCGAAAGGGCCGTGTGCCTCCATCGATGGCGATTTGTCATCTTCCAGTTCTGAACAGAAATTAAATTGTAAGGCAACTGACAGACATGCCAGTCTGCCAGCATCGTAAAAATGGGCTGTCTGTCCTCTCAAAGGCCCCGTTAATATTTCTTACGCACATGCCATCAACAATAACGCGTTATTGTTAATAATAGTGTTTTCGTTTCCCAACGTGAAGGTGTTCGATCAGTGGCAAAAAGGCAGCCTGCTTCAGAAGGTGCTCGAAGGGGCTGCCCGCAGCCTGGAGGCTCTCGGCGATCAGTTTGTGGAAGAGACTGAGCCCCGGAAGGTGCTAGAAGCCCTGCACACTCTCCTTCTCATCCTGAGTGACGGCTTGGCAGCAGATGACCCCAGCGGCGACCATTCGTCTCCAAAGACGTAAGACATATTTTCCTGTTTGATTACTGGTTGGGCTAGCAACCCGGAACATTACAGAGTGCACAAAGAGACAGGGACAGAAGAATTTCATAAAACCGTGGCTCCACGGAGGATTTCCAGTTAGCAGCTGGGAGACGCAACTGTATAGTGGGCCATCCAGAATTGTTTGTGGTTGTCCCATGAGTTCAGATGCATAAAACCACCCAGGGGGGACGTGTCTGGGAACGTGTCTGGATTTCAGGTGTTATGTCTTTGACATTTGTTCAAAAATGAGCAAGGGGGGGGGCACCTGGGTGGCTCAGTCGGTTGGGAGGCCGACTTCGGCTCAGGTCATGATCTCGCGGTCTGTGAGTTCGAGCCCCGCGTCGGGCTCTGTGCTGACAGCTCAGAGCCTGAAGCCTGTTTCAGATTCTGTGTCTCCCTCTCTCTGACCCTCCCCCATTCATGCTCTGTCTCTCTCTGTCTCAAAAAAAAAATAAACGTTAAAAAAAATTAAAAAAAAAATGAACAAGGGGCGCCTGGGTGTCTGAGTTGGTTAAGCGGCTCACTTCCTCTCAGGTCATGATCTCGCGGTGTGAGTTCGAGCCCCGTGTCGGGCTCTGTGCTGACAGAGCCTGGAGCCTGCTTCTGATTCTGTGTCTCCCTCTGTCTCTGCCCCTCCCCTTTCATACTCTGTGTGTCTCTCTCTGTCTTTTTCTCTCAAAAATAAACAATAAACATTAACAAAAATTTTAAAAACGAGCAAAAACATGGTAGAGGTCCTTTCATGTAAGGAACTGTTTTCATAGCTGTTTTGAAATTTTGTATTGTCAACATGTTCTCATAAGATCCAGAAATATGTCGGAAGCAGGAGAAGGTAGATCTTGTGGCTGCTTCGTTTTTGAGATCAGCAGAATTGACTCACGGATTGTCGATTCTGCTGCGACACTGGACCTCTGTTTTCAGTGGGTCCCGTCCTTGGCGGTAACTTGACCTGGTTGCAATCCTGCGTTGACTCTCCTTGGAGGAGAGCAAAAGATTTCTCAATGTTGTCTCAGAAGGGTTTGTTTCAAGCTACAGGTCGTGGAAAGTTTTGCTCCTGTGCCTCCTGAAGGGAGGATTGTGTGATCAGAACTGCACGGGCCATGTCGTGTTCTCATGACCCACGTGACATACACGTGCATAACTGGACGCACTTCCAGCCCCCTCTGCCTTTTTCTGGAACCCGGTTAGGAAGCAGGATCTTGTTGTCGAAGGTCTGCTTTCCTGATTTACCTTAGGGATTGCCCCGGTACTAGCGATGGAGCACGTCACTTTAATGGCCCTACAACCCTCCCACGCACGCCCTGGCACTTTGGCCCAGGGGACAGAGAGCCCCAGGAGACGCCGGCTCTTAGCTCCTTCAGGGATCGGAGACGTGAGGGACTGCACCCTCTCGGAGGACCAGGTGTGCACAGCCCATGCTTTCCCTGCCCCCACTCAGGGTGGGAACCGGCTGCTGTGTGCACTGGGCAAGCCTCCCTTTGTCTCTGCATGCACATCTGTTATATGGTCGTCTGTGACCCTCGCACTGGTGGCCGCCTGGTCGCTACCTCCCCACCCTGATGGTGCCTCTCTGGTTATCGGGCTCTTGGTCCGCTGCAGGGTTCACGCGAGACCCCCCAGAAGCCCCGTGCCTTCAGCTCTAAGGAAGGATCTGTCCCCCTTGGATGGCTGCAGCGGACCAGGCAGGGAGACCCCGTGGTGGGAACATGGCACACTTAGCCGCTGCTCACAGGCTCCGGCCCGTTCCCGACACCTCGCCCAGCATTGTCTTCTCTCTCCTAAACTCACCTCCCTTCCCTCCATCCTCCCTTTTACAGGCCCACTGAGTTTCCTACAGACCTTCTAGGTTCTGTCATGTCTTGTGAATCCTGTGTGTCTGCAGTGGGTTGCTTCCTGGGGTGTAGACGTGAGCCCCGCAGCGGCGGGTGTCACCCGTGAGCGACCGTGGCTCAGATCCCTGCATTGTCCTGTGCTGTGCATTGGCATCTGACCCCCTCCTGGCGCCCCCTCCTGGCGCCCTCCAGCACGTCCTTAGCTGCGTCTGTCGCTCTCTGTCCTTTCAGACCTGTGTCTGGGGCTGCCTCCCCCTGTCCATCCGTGGCTGCTCTTTAGTTTACGCCCCTCCGTGTGTCAGCCCCTCACTCGCCCACGGCCTCCTCCTCCAGGTCCTCGTGAGACCCGCACTGCCCTCAGTGGGACCCCGCAGCCCCCGTCCAACGCCTGTGGTCCAGGACGCTGCAGCTCGTTACTTCTAGCCTGCTCTTGGTGACTGCTCACACCTTTTCTCTTCCAAGTCACAGCTTCCAGCCAGAAGAAGTGGGAAACCCCGCGGCCCACGCCTGTTCTGGGCACCGAGGATGCCGGCTTTACAGGCAGGACCTCCTGCCCCAGGGCGATGAGATGCGGGAGAGGCTAGCCGGCGTGGGCACGGGGCCAGGTGGGGCCGGGGCTGGGGGTGGGGGGGGCATGTGCCACCTGTCACTGGGCTGCGGCCACAGATGCCTGGCACGGGTGCCCCCGGCAGCATCTGGGCCTCTCCTTCCAGCTCACGGAGGATTCCGTGTGCTTGCATAGATGCCTGAGGGTCGGTGCCCGCCTGCTGGGGCACTTGCCACCCCCCCACTGTGACTCCCCATCTGGCTCTTTGCTTCCACATCTGTTTGCAATTTCAGCTCCTATTGTTGCAGACTCTTTCCAGCGGCTCCTCTGGGTTGTTTCCCCCCTCTTCCCCAGTGAGGCATCCTCCTTGTGCAACAGGCAGCCCCTGAGGCAGGGAGAGATCTCCGGCTCCCTGGGGTAGCTGCACAGCCTGTCCACCCACCCGCCCC